TGGTTTTCCCAGCCAATGATCTCTCCATCGCAGACTCTACACGTACGTCAACGAGAAGCTCTTCTCCAAACCCACCTACGCCAGCTTCATCAGGCTGCTGGACAATTACCAGAGGATGACGGGCCGGGGGGAGGCTGTCAGTGCCGAGGAGCGGAAGGAGCAGGAGAACTTCTTGAGGGAGGTCATGAAAACCGAGCTCATGAAAACGCTTTACAGTTTCCTGCACAAGAAAAGTAAGTGGCCCTGTGCTGTGCCACAATAGCACTGGGCAGCTGGCGCCCATATGCCAGCACCTGTTGAGCAAGAGCTGGCTGGGTCACCCACCTTCCTGTTGAGCATGTTGCTCAGACTGTAGCTGTGTTACCCCGAGAACATGGGTGTGATGGGTTGGATCACAGAAGTCCCCTGGGCTTGTCCCCTGGGGAGCTGATCAAGCCACTGATGTCCTCCTTCCTGCCCTCTGGGCTCCCCACCACCCTACCTTGCTGGGCCAGAAGCCCTGGCCTCCCAGGAAAGTAACAGACTCTTCTCTAGGAGGGCTCAACTTTAAGGGCTCAGCACCCAGGAGCACAAACCCCAAAGGATAGCGCTGGCTATCACATTAGGATAGCAGGATAAGGCACCCTCTGAAAGTAGCCATGCGGCGTGGGCTCTAGAGTGGGGCTAGGGCATTGGCTTTTGGAGTACAGGGTTGGGGGTTTGAGTCCCCCACCCTGGGAGCAAGTCCATCTTATCCCAGGTACAAGCTTATGAGACAGCTCGTAAAGTGGGTTCCCTTTATCAGTGAGAGAGAGATGCGCAGTGGTCACAGTTCTTTACACTGGGCCTGGTAACAGATGAAGGTGTTTTTTAGTAAGAAGAAAAGCAGACTGAAGCGGGTGCAAGTGAAAACAGCCGGATCAACGTGTGCTACTAAGCTAAAATAAACAAGACGCCCTCTAGGCCACTGAGAAACGTGTTACATGCGAATCCTGACCCGGTCTGGGTCCAACCCGCTTTGAGAGTGTGACCAGCACAGCGGGGGCCGACCCCAGGGGCTGCCAGCAGCAGGTGTCTCCTGTTCCTCCAAGTGCCGGGGCCAAGGGGGGACACTCCCCCACGGCAGGCAGCTCCTGCCTCTACTCCCAGTGAAGCCAGGGTCTGAATGGTCCCAGAACAGAGCACCCCTCCTAGAGGGGTCAGTCCCGCTGCCTGGGGTGCGCTGCTCCTGCTGTTCCGGGGCACATGCTTCCAGGGCAGGCCACACAGCAGCTCTCTAGCACTGTGAATTAGAAACCAGAGCAGCTGTGCACCCGGATGGGTCTCTGCACCTTCATGCTGCGTCCCAGATTAACACATAGCAGGAGGGGTGTGGGCACTGGCTGAGCACCCAAAGTCCTGCCTGGCAGGCCCAGGGCCCACTGTAACCCCAGGGATGCCCGCTCTGGAGGGAGGCAGCCTCATCTCTGGCTCTTTGGGATTGGAAGGGGCCCTGTCCAGGGCATGGGGCTGCCGGGTGTGCTGCTGCATCCCACTCCAGTAGCGCCTAGACTGCCTAGCAATTGATGAGTCGGCTACAGCCTTGGCTCAGAGCCTCGTGGCTTTCAGCTCATGCCGTAAAACCTCAGGTATTTCACTCCAGAGCCACGGGTGAGCAGGCCTGTCAGTGGTCCATGTGGCCCCACAGGTGCTCCTCAGAGGTTTGGCTTCCCTCCTCTCACTCGTTCGGGGCTCTCTCCACGCTGTTCTATCTCCAGAGCGCTACAGCACCCAGGAGGAGTTTGTCAGTGACCTGGACAAGATGTGGTTTGGCCTTTATTCCAGAGGCAACAGTGAGGGGGATTCCAGCGGCTTTGAGCACGTCTTCTCAGGTACAGTATGGGCTGGGTTCATAGCCCCTGGCTCCTCCCTTTCTGCCCAAGGCCCCGCCCCTTTTCCCCAAGTCCAGAGCACCCCCACTGTAGCTGCCTGCCCTCCAGTCCCTGGTCTCCTGAGTGCTTCCAGCCTTGGAGTACTGGGCCTGGGTGGTGCAGTGCCAGCCCCATAGAGCCCAGAGCACCAGGCAGGTGGTGTGGGCCCAACACCCCCTCCCTCAGTGCATACAGCCCCCGAGTGCTGGGCTGGCAGGCAGCACAGCCCCCCAGCACCTGCAGCCTTGGGCAGCTCAAACACCAGCCCCAGCCACCCAGAGTCCAGACTACAGGCCGGCCTGCCCAGTCCCAGCGTCAGCGCCAGCGCCAGCCCAGACCATGGGGAAAGAGCAGGAAGGAAACGGGAAGTGTGTGGGGGGAGGGGGGGGCACAACGGGCTGTCTGAGGAGGCTCAGCCTCCCCTGGCCTGTGATACCCACTGCCCATGTAGCAGAGGCTGGCTGGGGTGATGGGCAGGGCCAAGCATGTGCTGAGCAGGAGGGATGGACCCTCCTGTGTTATGGGCCCTGAGCCATTCTCCATCCCTGCCCCTATATTTCCCCAGCCACCCGCCTGCACCCCAACCCTGCTCCCCAGCTGGTGTGCTGAGCAGGCAGAGCATGTTGGGGCACACGGGTTGCCATTTTGGGGGTCCCCCAATTGGCTGGGCCCCTGGGCATGGCTAAGCCACCGCTGTTGAGCAGACTGCACCCAGGGGGTGGGGGAAGGCAGAGGAAGCCTCTCCCCTCGGGGGATGCGTGTGCCCAGCGCGTGGTGCGGGAACAGTGCGGGCAGGGCCAGGGGCGCTCGGCCCCTCCCTGGGGTGCAGTGCCCAGCGACCGTTCCCCTCCTCTTTAGGGGAAGTCAAAAAAGGAAAAGTGTCCGGATTCCACAACTGGATTCGTTTCTACCTTCTGGAGAAGCAGGGGCTGGTCGACTACTACGGCCATAACTACGACGGGCCGGTCAGTACTGCCGCCGGGCCAGCGCAAACCGGGCACTGGGCAGTCTGACCAGCGGCCCACACGGGGACGGAGAGGCCCGTCAAAGCAGTGAAGCCCTTTGGGATGGCAGGGCAGCTGGGTTCCCTGGAGGGTCCCTGCCAGTATCAGCAATGGCCCCTTGGATCCCAGCCTGAGGGTCACATTGGGATGCTCCCTTGGGTGCATTCTCCTGCCGGGAGGGCAAGGGCTGAGCAAGAGGGAGATGGGATCTGGGGTGGAAGGGCAGCCAAGGGGAAGCTGTGGGTCACAGCCCCCCCCACTCACTCTGAATGTGACCCTGGATCCCTGGCTGAGTCACAGC